TATCCTTCCCTTGTCTCCTCTGCAGTTCCATACTTCTATCCGATTCTGTCTCTCTCCGTCCATTATCCTTCCCTTGTCTCCTCTGCAGTTCCATACTTCTATCCGATTCTGTCTCTCTCCGTCCATTATCCTTCCCTTGTCTCCTCTGCAGTTCCATACTTCTATCCGATTCTGTCTCTCTCCGTCCATTATCCTTCCCTTGTCTCCTCTGCAGTTCCATACTTCTATCCGATTCTGTCTCTCTCCGTCCATTATCCTTCCCTTGTCTCCTCTGCAGTTCCATACTTCTATCCGATTCTGTCTCTCTCCGTCCATTATCCTTCCCTTGTCTCCTCTGCAGTTCCATACTTCTATCCGATTCTGTCTCTCTCCGTCCATTATCCTTCCCTTGTCTCCTCTGCAGTTCCATACTTCTATCCGATTCTGTCTCTCTCCGTCCATTATCCTTCCCTTGTCTCCTCTGCAGTTCCATACTTCTATCCGATTCTGTCTCTCTCCGTCCATTATCCTTCCCTTGTCTCCTCTGCAGTTCCATACTTCTATCCGATTCTGTCTCTCTCCGTCCATTATCCTTCCCTTGTCTCCTCTGCAGTTCCATACTTCTATCCGATTCTGTCTCTCTCCGTCCATTATCCTTCCCTTGTCTCCTCTGCAGTTCCATACTTCTATCCGATTCTGTCTCTCTCCGTCCATTATCCTTCCCTTGTCTCCTCTGCAGTTCCATACTTCTATCCGATTCTGTCTCTCTCCGTCCATTATCCTTCCCTTGTCTCCTCTGCAGTTCCATACTTCTATCCGATTCTGTCTCTCTCCGTCCATTATCCTTCCCTTGTCTCCTCTGCAGTTCCATACTTCTATCCGATTCTGTCTCTCTCCGTCCACTTTCCTTCCCTCGTCTCCTCTGCAGTTCCATACAACTACCCCATCCCACCCCTCAGCGTACCTTCCTCCCTTCCTCCTCTGGAGTTCCGTACCGACATGCATATAATAATGGAGGGCATGCAATGTGTTCTGGCAACACGCCACACATCAGATCTAGCCTATTAATTCAGTGCTTCGCCCACATTCATCCAAAGTGTCAATACATTATAATTATCATTATCAACATCGTCATCTTCCTTGTTAATGATAATTCACTGTAGACACACGATGCATACGAACGCTTTACAATAATTTTGGTATGAGTAATGAGTATTTTCTTACGTGCTAACGACCGGAATGCCCGATCTTCCCTCAGGATACGGCCTCGTTCCTTATCACTATCTCAATATATATTTGCTAAACGGCAGGAACTGCAAAAATAAAAAAAAAAACACACAACTTGGCACGAGGGTTTCGGTCACATAAATCCAACACTACTGCAATACTGTGGAGCCGGGGTAGCTCGGTATAGCGAAGGGCTACGGGCTACATGACTATCTTCGATTCCCGGTTGGAGCAAAATATTTCACTCTACTCCACAGCGTTCTCACGGGCTGTGGGGCCCACAAAACCTCCTAACCGATGAGTAGGCAGTAAAGCGACCGGAACATGAAGCTGTCACCTCCATCTGGTCCATCCCTAGCATATCTCCGTGGCGTGCTGTTTACTTAATTAAGCACAAGGACAACTTTTATCTTTTTTACCTTTACCATTGCAATATTTGTACATCGCTTTCTGAGGCCCTGTGATTTTCGGCGTTAAGCCGTTGTAGTTTAACATACATATTACTTACTTACTTACTCATGGAGCTGAGCCCTTAATTGCCGTGTTCACAAGAGCTCTCCACTGGTCCCTATCCTGAGCCAGATCAATCCAATCAATCCCTTCCTCTCTCTAAGATACATTTAAAATTATCCACCCACCTATGCCTTGGTCTTCCCAGTGGTCTCCTTCCTTCTGGCTTTCCCACCAATATCCTACGTGCATTCCTCGTCTCCACCATTCGTGCTACATGACTTGCCCACCTCATCCTCCTTGAATTGATCATTCTAATTAAACTTGGAGAATTAAGCAAACAGATATTTATAGACAACAATAAAGATATGAAATTATGCATAAAACAACAGCGTTGGCGCCATGTGCTTCAGTTTCCTCACGTACATTTGTCGCTCCTATTATTTGCGAATTAAACTAAACATGTATTCAGGCAACACCTACACTCAGATGAGATGATATTAAAACTGGACTAGATTCATCTGGCTCTGGATAATGACAAGTGGCAGGCTCTTTCGAATACGGTAATGAACCTTAAGGTTATATAAAGTTCCATGAATTTCCTGAATGGCTGAACGACTGATGGATTCTCAAGGACTCACCTGCATGGAGTCAGTTTGTTAGTTACAATTTTCACAACATAAGCTCGCTGAACAGCAATATCCGGTTCTTTGTGATGGAGACGCGACGTATTCATTGAGCTAGGAACGGAATTCTTAGCTCTCTGGCTACATGCATTTATATGATTTCATTATAGTTTTCCCCGATTTTCTTTATTTCCTCACACACCGCAGTAGCTCATTGCATTAGTATGCACACATTTTGGGAGGAAAAAGGGCTTTACTCTCCTCCACTAGAATTTTGCCTGTGGTTCTGTATGGGTGTGAAACTTGGTCTGACATTAATGGAGGAACACGGACTGAGGGTGTTTGAGAACAGGGTGCTGCGATTATTTGGACCCGAGAGAGATGAAGTGACAGGAGACTGGAGATAACTGCACAATGAGGAGCTTCATAACTTGTACTCTTCTCCAAGCATAATTAGAATGATCAAGTCAAGGAGGATGAGATGGGCAGGGCATGTAGAATTAATGTGGAAGAGGAATACATATAGGATATTGGTGGGAAAGGCAGAAGAGACCACTGGCAATACCAAGGCGTAGGTGAGTGGACAATATTAAAATGGATCTTAGAGATATAGGATTGGATGGTATGAATTGGATTGATCTGGCTCAGGATAGAGACCAGTGGAATGCTCTTGTGATCCTTCGGGTTCTATAAAATGCTGGGAAGTTCTCGAGCAGCTGCACAATTGGCGGCTTCTCAAGAAGGGCTCAGCTCCATGAAGTTCACACCGAAAAAATAACAGTTGTCCGCATTACCCGTCATTCCCTCGTTCAAGAAGTACGGAAACGAGACGCCATTTCTCTTCATTTGCATGCAATGGCGGTCTGTAGTGTACGGAGATGCATTTATTTCAGAGAGCTTGGTTAGAGATGATGATACGTCTTAATGATAAAGTTTTCGAGCGTTTTTATATCCGTCTATCTTGCTAGTAGCCCGGGGGTAGCGGGGTGGGGGAGGCGTGCTTTCGTCTACTCAATTCATTACTTCGTTCCTCATTCCCACGCTCATCACAACTGTCTCCAAGCAACCACTGTAAAGTTACAACTTTTTCTTTCCAAAGCCGGTAACATCTTTTTATCTCATACCGTCACCATAAAGTTTAAAATCTCAAAGGGACTTAATGCTACTTCTTAACCTGGGTAACTATATCACCTGATTTTGCCCTGAGAGTGTATCGACGCGTCTGGCAATTCTGGGAATAAAGAACAATTATTTCGCAATAATTTTCATTTTGTGCATCCTGTTGTTATTATATACAATCCTTTATTGGAATCCGTCGTAACACAACATAAGGGTCACGGTCAACATTACCCTAGCTACATATTTCGGCTTTTAAAGCCATCATCAGGCAAACACACACAACTGAACTGCAATTCATTGTGACAGTAGAACTGGACACTTGACAGCTATCTTATATTATAAAATACAAGGTATAAAAATACAATGAATTACAAAATTATTATAAAACGAAAGTTATACAATAAAATATGGTTAAAAACCCCTTCATATAATATTGCATATTATGAAGTCATTCTGTTGCATTCTTGTTATATTCAAGACTTGTATACATGTAATAAACTGCTTGGAGGCCCGCGGTATGGATGTAATAAAGCAAAGCTATCCCTGTAACAGTGAAGGCCCATAGGGTTGTGAGACGTTGAGGCTCCCACATTTTCTAGACAATCGGCTCAAAGATGGCGGTAAGGTTGTCAGTCTTACGCGCCGGCCGCGCTTTACTCCCCAGGAAAATTATTTAATTAATTCCTGGTACTCATTTCTGTTAGAGGCTGAGTCAACCCCAGGGCCATAGTGCGGCTGGAAGGATTAGGGCAATTGAAAAAAAAATCGAATTACCTCATCGGGACTTGAACCCGTGACCTTCCGGGTTGTAGCACAGCCCCTCAACAACTGTGTAGTATTATTTGAAATTAACTGTTTGGCCGGTGTCTCATTTTACAATGTATTTTGTCCGCTCTGGTGGGAATACAGATTGCAATTCAAGCTGCAATCTGTATTCCCACCAGAGCTAAGATAATGCTGACCTTGAGCGTTATGTTGTGTTACGACGGACTCCAATAATGAACTGTATTTCACAATACATAACTGAGTGCCTGGTTTTATAAAGAACACTCGCTGTGTTTTCTGTTTGGTAGGAATGCGTTTTTAATATTGTCACGTGTCCGGGGTTCCGTGCGGCTTTGACGTAGCTGTATTATTGGGAGACTCGTTTATAATTACACTTACAATCACTACAATCACCCTGACATAACTTCTTCCAGAAGATGTGGCCTGACTAGTCAATCTTCTCTAGTCTCTCACTACTCTCTGCGCTTCCCGGATCTCTCCCCTGACTGTCGCAATCTACCCTCTTAAAGTACATCTTCGCGTACTGCCGAGAGAACACATTGTCCAAGGGTTCTCTGTCTTCGACGCAGCGTTGGGCAGCGGCAACTCAACAATTCTATCTTTGCTGCCTAGGTAATTTCCTAACTGCCTATGTATTCGTTTCTATTTTAGCCGTTGCGTAGCAATGGACGTCATATAGTCCGGCTTTTAGGCGGCACGCCACAATATTATTAAGATAAATTTCAGGCTTCGAAGGGTTTGCTGGCACTGAAAAAATGCGACTTAAAACAATGAAATATCCCAACATAAAGTATTATGTAAATTTATAATTACCTCATCTTTTAACGACGTCATAGGCTCTCTTGATCGAAGAGTGGATTTTATGCGACACCCAAATGGAAATTTACCTGAAACATACAGAAAATAACACAAAATAAATCTTGTGCGTTTAAAACCGGCAACAAAAAATATGGTAACTATACTAACCTCAAGATGCATCGTCGCTCATAGAACCAAGCAAATTCCCTCCTCCTACGGAAGCAAAGGTTCATTACCGTATTCACAAGAATCCATCAGTGCACACCCGCACACCTCAACACATCACTCTCCATTTTACTCCATGTTTTCCAACTGGTCTCCTTCCTCAAGGTATTACGAACGCATGCTACACGCTCCGCCCATCTCATGTGACTTGATCACTCAATAGCAATTGGTGTTAAAGAGCAAATTGTGAATCCCCCCACTCTGCTAGGTTCTTCATTTCCCCAGTTACGTGGTAAAAAAAATCACAGAATGGATAGGTCTGTCAGTAAACCAGTGAATTTTCTATTTCAGATATCAACATATTATTCAGTTTGCCAACGAAACACACTTCGATTTAGTCCTTTAATTAATTTTTTTAATTCGCTTAGTGGAGGGTGGAGTCCAGCTGGAACCACTCGTCACGGCGGCCACTGAATGGCCTATTGTAGCCTGCCCCAGGTGATTATGATGGAGAATCTGGTGGAATGAAGATTTTGGCAGGGAAAACCTAAGTACTCGGTGAAAACCTGCCCCAGCGCCACTTTGTCCACCACAAATCCCACTTGACCAGACCCGGGATCGAACCCGGGCCGCCGCGGTGGGAAGCCAGCAACTAACAGCTTGAGCTATGGTGCGGCCACATTTAGTCCTTTAGAGCGCAGTGGTAAGAACATATACCACCTGCTTTAACAATTCAAAGCTCTGCCTTTCGCTCACACGCTGCACTTAATGAGCTTTGGATGATTCTAATATTATTTCCCTTAACAGTATCACCGCGTTGCTCTATGTAATTGAGACGCGGAGGTTTTTTCCTGAGGTAGAAGGTAGATTTTTAAAATTATTTCGATGACGTTCAAGCCTCAAATGGATACCATATTTCCTGCTGTTTTGCTTCATGCTGCTTTTATATTCAATGAGGAAGGTTCATTTTTCACGGAGTTATGACGTGGTTATGAACGTTAAGCAGGCACCTACTGCCTCTGTCTTCATGGCAGGAGTGAGAAATTTACGTAACCAGGGGTCACAACCCAGAAGATCGCAAACACTAATCTTCAGCGCCTTCGAAAACTCAGAATCTTGCATGCCATGGCAGTATCAAGCAAAGCGGTTACTATACTTACCACCTGCTTCAACATATACTCGTAATAACTCTACAGAGTAGCCATATGTTTCGTATAATTCTCAGAATAAACAGCAATCATTTACCTAAATAATTGTAACCAACTTGACTTTGTAATAGTGGCTCTCGGGGTTTTCTGTAATTTATAAACTGTAAAGTTCTGAATGAACTTCATGATTCACAGAACTAAACCCTCAGTTATATTAAGCTAAGTCTACGCGAGCAAAAGGTCAGACAAACATTTCTTCCGTTGAGATACAAGAACTAGTAAGGCCGACGTATGCGTTTCAAGTCTTCTTTACGGACTACACTATCCATCTGTGGCTCTACAGCCCTTTATTGGACCCTGGCCGCTTTTTCGGTTTCTTAAACTTTTTACACAAGCTGAAGGTCTCCTTGGATGGGGGATCAGCCCGTCGCAAGGCCGCTACCTACACACAGAACCACACAAAGAAAAAACGCACACAGACATCCATGTCTCGCGTGGGATTCGAACAAGCGATACAAGTGTTGAGCGGGTGAAGACAGTTCATGCCTTAGACGGCTCGGCCGATATGATCGGCCCCGATTACACTAATACCACACCTATAGGCGGAGTTGCTGTGTTCCCCCGTGCATTCTCACTAACTAAACCAAAACTGACACACTCGAGGTCAGAGCAATATCACGCTTTGGTCTGCCGCTCCGCACCATCGCGCCAGGTTCCGTTTTTGTGTGCCTCTGTGCGTTTAGCACCGACCAGCCGGCCGGCGGTGTGGTCAGGCATGAGGTATTTCTTCTATGCAACACTAAAAATGTGAGAATTGCCCAACAGCATTATCCCTTTGAAGAATAAAGATTATCTAAAAATATTTTTTTTTAATCAGTTCCTATCTCACGGGAAAAAAACTGTGTCTCCATATCAAAGAACAGTCAGTTTATGTGGTGTAGGGTAATAATAGCTGTTTAGGTAACACGTATATAGTATATAGATCTAGACTGTACGGAAAAAAAAATGAAGTTTTCAATGTTAAAAGCTGGTGGTACATAAAGTAACCACTTTGCTTTGCGGAAGGCTAGGAACTAACTTTATAAATATTACTTAGAACTTCACACTTCAAAGAATTGACAAGTTGGCAACAAACGCATTTCGAAATGTGCTTTAGAAGCTGATAGTCGCTCATTTAACGCACTCTATCGAGTCAGTGAGCAGAGGAATATCCTACACGAAATATGAAAACAGAAGGCTAATTGGATTGGTCATATCTTACGCAGTAACTATCTTTTAAAAGAATTTATTGAAGGAAAGATAGAGGGGCGGATAGAAGTGACCAGAAGACGAGGAAGAAGACGTAAGATGATGCTGGATGACCTTGGGGACAGAAGAGGATATTCTCATTTGAAGGAGAAAGCTCTAGATCGCATTAAGTGGAGGAACTGTTTTTGAAGAGACTGTGGACCTGTCGTCTGATGAATGAATCGATCCAAAATGTTCATTACCGAGCTCGCATGGATTAGATGAATCCAACCCACAGCTATTACCGCAGGATATACCCGTTTATGACCACGTCTTCGAAGTGGCCTCCTCTCCTCTGGTTTCCGGGCTAAAATTTTGTATGCATTTCTCGTCTTCCCCATTCATGTCACATGCCCTCCAACCTATGTCCTTCCGTTTACAAATCCAATAATATCCGATAAAAGGCAAGTGTCCATGCAGAAGAGTACTTATAATTCTCGTACTTAATCCCCCATATCCATATAAAATGGAAAATTCCACGGACTACGATACATTGCGGTCTCCGCCCCCACCCCCACAAGTAATTAAACCGGCTACTCTCTCTCCCACTTACACAACATACAGTATATACACACATATATATATATATATATATTTACCTTTGATACAAAGGAACACAGCTTAACGATACGACTAACTAATGACGTGGCCTCCATGTTTAAACAAGTCTCCCTCCCTTGCCACAGTGGTACAGTTCAGAATAATGATTTGTAAACTTCAGTGGCGGATCGTACCTGTACGCCACGTGAGACGGCAGTGCTCTAAAGCACTCTGTTAACTATATGTTATTATTACGGCCCTACAGCCCTTTGCTGGGTCCTGGCCGCCTTTTCAGTTTCTTGATCCTATACACTGTCGGTAGGACTCCTTGGACGGGGGGAACAGCCCGTCGCAAGGCCTCTACCTACACACAGAATAAAACAAACTCCGTGGCCTATAGTCCGCAAGCGAAGTATACCGACCGAGTGACAGCCGCTGGTTGGCGAAATTAGTGCCAACTCTTGAGGACTGAGGGCGTCACGTGGTCAGCTCAACGGATCCCGACGACCGTTAATCTCGGCTTTCTAGGCCGGAGCCGCTATTTCCTTCCAAACACGGAATAAACGCACACAATACAGACATCCATGCACAGAATGGGATTCTAACACACGATCCTAGCGTTCGAAGACAGCTCATGCCTTACAACGCGCGGCCACTGTGATCGGCTGCTAACTATTTGTAGCACAAAATTAAACATTTAAAGGCTCTGCATTCCACTACAGCGTATTTATACGTTTCGCGTCATTCTCACAACAAACAGTAATTATTTCCGCTACACAGCATGAACCGATTCGGCCTTCACACTGTACCACCTGTGGCGTAAGAACTGAGGTATTACTTAGATGAATTTAGTGCTTAAAATTATTATATATTAATATGAATAGATGTCAAAAGTGTTCACATTCCTTGTATCACTAGTATATGCAGATTTTAATTTTGGACTAATGTCGCTTTTGGGCGCACGAAGTAGCGCAATTGGTTGAGGCACTATGCTACAAGCCGGAGGGGTCGCAGTTTCTTTCCGAACAAGTTACTTGGATTTCTCTACTGACCTAAACCTTCCAGCCGCACTATGGCCCTGGGATCGACTCAGCCTCTAACAGAAACGAGTACCAGGAATCTTCCTGGGGGATAAAGGACGGCAGGCGCGTAAGGCTGACAACTTTACCGCCATCTGTGAACAGACTGTCTAGAAAATGTAGAGCTTCGACGTCTCACAACCCTATGGGCTTCCAAGGCGTGTTACAGGGATAGCTTTACTTTTTTCTTTACCTAATGTCACTTTTGCAAAAACACGTTCGAATTACTGCCCCTTGGGGTTATGTTTCTCTAGCAACGGAGTACATAACTAAAATAGGGATGTGAACGTAAACTGGGAAGTTTATATGTACTGCTGTGCAACATTCTCTTTGCAAACGTCTTTTTTTTTTCGCTTTACTTTTATACTTCATCGGATAATTTAACGTGACGTAATCAAATTCCTCTGAAGACGTTACGCAAGAAAGACAAGGCAAGAGAGCATATATTACTTTAAGAATTCAACCACTCGTTACATGCGTCATAAAAGAACTTTCGCTTCGGCAAGAACTGAATAAAACTTCGGTACATGTTCAAAATAACTGCACAACCACAAAACTTTATGTATTTAGTGGGTTAGTTTGTCAAGGTGATATTAATAATGATAATACATTTTGTCCACAGTAGAATTCTCATGTTGTGCTATCCTATTATAAATGCACCTAAGAAACAGATGAGGAAAAAGACACAACACAACTTTTTATACTCCATAAATACTCGAAGACTAACTTCACAAAACAATTTACAATTACAAATAATTTTTAAGTCAATATTTCTTAAAAAATTACAAGACGTAAAAAAGTAAAATTAACGATACAGGGTATCAACGGTGAAATTTTATTCTGCGTTATATAATTCTTCGGCCGCCTCTG